CATGTATATTTTTAATGTTTTTAGCTTACGTTGAATTTTTTTTTTTTTTTTTTGCAAACTTTCATTGTCTATATGCTAGTATATTTAATTCCAAGAGCTCTTTTTATTCTCTTAATGGCCTCCTTTTTTCGACTAGCAGCCTCTTCTCACCTCTTAGATTGCATTTTTCTGCAATCTTATGTTTAGCAACACATAAGAAGCAATGATAGTTTTGTGGGGGTTTTTTTTAAACTTCTTCCTACATAATATATTTCCTCTTATTTCTCCTCCTCCCCATTTGTTTTGTCCTTTATCATTTTAGAAACTTTGCTCTAATGTATAGTATTTCTTGGCTGTTGACTCATATTTGAATTTGGACAATAAAAAGCTGATTACAAACTCTGTACCATGTGTTTTGCTGTTATGTGCCGTCAAGTTGGACCCAATTCATAGCGACCCCTCCTTGGGTTTGTGAGGCAGTATCACTGCGGAAGTAGATTGCCCCATCTTCCTTCCGAGGAGTGGCTGGTGGGTACCATGTGTAGAGCTTGTTAAATTCTACACCATACAATGAGGTAATTTGGTTGGGACATTTCATTGTGTAACCCCCAGTGCTAGTATCTTTTAGTTTATATTTTACTTTGGAGCTGACTGAATTCTTCAGAGAAGGGTCTTTCATTTTTCCTACCCTGGAGGTTATAAGCCTGCCTGACAGTGTTCTAGGAGCCTTAGAAAAAATAACTATTGCTTTCAGTTTATAAACTTTTGTTTAACCCTTATATGACCTGTGGGACATCATATATTATCCACCAACATTTTTGGCCTCTCTGATTTCTTGTCAGGCTTCTATCCCAGTTACGATACATACTGCTGCCTGGCAGGGACCTGTATAACTAAGTGAATCTAAAAAAACAAGTTTACTCCACCAACCCTATCACTAGAGTCCACTTGGCCAGAGTCTGCTTGGAACATACATGTCCATCCTAATTGTATCAAAATCCATATTACCTCAAAAAAATGTTTCCCTTGATATCAGCATGCCTTCGATTACTGAAAACACGTGGTATAAGTGAAAAATGCAAAGCAGAAGATAATTTAGCCATGAAAGGGTTAAAAGAAGGCTCATCCACACTCTAATTCTTACCTTCTCTAGAGAATAACCTCTGGTGGCATGCCTGGGAAGAGAAGGGGAGTTGCCAAACTATATGTAATAGATGAGGAGATCAAACTATTTCTTACTCAATTTTTCAACAAATCTTGGTTTTGGGCCCATCTTTAACCTCATTTCCAGATATAACTTTTTTTTTTCCCCCTAATTTTTATTGTGATTTGGGTAAAAGTTGACAGAGCAAATTCATTTTCCATACAGCAGTTCATACACATTTTGTTTCATGACATTGACTGCAGTTCCCCACAATGTTAACAGCTCTCTTCCCACTTCCTCCCTGTAGTTACCTCTTCCCTGTGTCTTTCCCTCCCATGCACTCCTGCCCCTCAAGCTGTCCAGACATAACTATTGTTTCCACTTCCTGAGCTTATAGATTCTGCAACTGAGTTACTTGAATTGAACTTTGCTGTGTCTGCTAGGTAATCTGTCTTTCTACTTTCTAAATGCTGTTGCTCTTGTCTCTTCTCTTTGTGGTATGTGTGTGTGCATGTAAAGTCTGTTACCTTTGTTCCATGTTATCTCAGGAGAGGCAGCAGAAGTACATGCATTCAATTCTCTGGTAGTTCCTTGATCTATATTGTCTATTGAACCTCACTACTTCCAGGCCTATCCTGATTCTGTTAGAGCAAATGATAAAATATTTTTCTCATAATAATATTTTTGTTTGTTTATTTTCTTGGTTTAAGGAATGCTAGTCTGAAAGATCACAAATCATGCTTTGCTCTCTATTATGCCAAGCCCAGTCTGTGTTCAACTAATTTATTTTCAATAATTTTTCAGGCCCATGAGTAAAGTTTATTTCATTTATCTTTTATGAACAAGGGAAAAATGTGAAATGTAATATACAAATGTTCTATGTTAAGATGTTTATGATAAGCCCTAACTAGGCAAATAACTGACAAAAAAAAGATAGGGAAAAAAATTACCAAAGAAATAAAAAAAACTATGTCAGAAAATATTCACATAATACAGAAGAAAGCAATAAAGTAGGAGTAGAAGAACAAAAAGACGTAAGATATATAGAATACAAAAAGTAAAATGACAGACATAATCCAGTTCTATCAATAAAACCAGTAAGTGTGAACAGATTAAACGATCCAGTCAAAAGACAGAGATTTGTCAGATAGGATAAAAAATTAAGATATTGTATCTGTAGGAGACATGCTTTAGAGCCAATAATACAAATAGATTGAAAATAAAAAGATGGAAAAATATATCATGCAAGGAGTAATACTTTAAAATAAAAAATGTTACTAGAGATAGAGATATAAAAGGATCAATCCATCAATGTTTATTATAAATAAACATACATGCACTTAACAACACACCACCAAAATATATGTTGTTGTTGTTGTTGTTGTTGTTTGCCGTCGAGTTGGCCCCGACTCATGGTGACCCCTCCTTGGGTTTCTGAGGCAGTATCACTACAGAAGTAGGATTGCCCAACCTTCCTTCCGAGGAGTGGCTAGTGGGTTTGAACCGCCAGCCTTCTGGTGAGCAGTCAAGTGCCTTAGGCACTATGCTACCAAAAATATATGGGGAATTAAAAAAAAGAACTGGAGAAATTGACAATTCAAAAATAATAGTTGATTATTTCAGTATTTCAGTATCCCACTTTCAATACTGGATAGAACAAATAGGTAGATCAATAAGGATATAGCTTGAACATTATACACCAACAAACGACATACTGCATTGGACAAATCTGCAAAAGACCTCTTTGAAGTGTTCAAAAGCAAAAGATGTTACTTTGAGGACTGAGGTATACCTGCCCCAGGCCATGGTATTTTATTTGCCTTATGTGCATACGAAAGCTGCACCAAACCAAACCAAACTCACCGCCGTGGAGTCAGATCCAACTTATGGCGACCCCTCCTTGGGTTTCTGAGGCAGTATCACTATGGAAATAGGTTCCCCAGCCTTCCTTCCAAGGAGTGGCTAGTGGGTTTAAACCGCCAGCCTTCTGGTTAGTAGTCAGATGCCTTAGGCACTATGCTACCAGAGCTCCTACAGTGAATAAGAAAGACCAAAGAAGAATTGATGTCTTTCAGTTATAGTGTTGGCAAAGAATATTGAATGTACCATAGACTGCCAGAAGAATGAACAAATTTATCATAAAGAAATATAGCTAGAATGCTTCTTAGAAGCAAAGATGGTGAGACGAGTCCCTAGAGGAGGACATCCTGCTTTGTAGAGGGTAAGCTAAAAAGAGGAAGACTTTCAATGAGATATATTGACACAGTGGCTTCAACATTGGGCATAAGCATAGCAACAATTGTGAGGATGGCAGAGGATCAAGTATTGTTTCATTCAGTTGTCCATGGGTCAGTGTGAGTTGGAACCATCTCGAGAGCACCTAGCAACAACAACAACGTACACCAGCTAGACCTAACAGACATCTGTAGAACAGTTTACCCAGCAACTAGAGGAATAGGCTTTCTTTTCATTTTCACTTGAAGCACTTTCCAAGATAGACCTTTTGCTAGGCCATAAAACAAATCTCAGTAAATTCAAAAAGAAAAGAAATAAAGTATGTTCTCTCACCACATTATAAATCAATGGCAGAAAAAGACGTTTGAAAAATTCACAAATACGTGATAATAAAACAACATAGTCCAAAATAAGCACTGAGTCAAAGAACAAATAACAAGGAAAATTAGAAAACACTTTGAGATGAATGATAATGAAAATGCAACATACCAAACTTATGAGAGGCAATGAAAGCAGTGCTTAGAAGAAAGTTAATAGCTATAAATGTCTATATTAAAAAAGAAAAAAAGATCTCAAATTGATAATCCAACCTTCCACCCTAAGACAGTGGATAAAAAAGAGCCAAGTAAACCTAAAGCACGCTGAAGGAAGGAAATAGTAAAGATTAGAAGAGAGATTAATGAAATAGAGACTGGAAACACAGTGAAGAAAATCATTGCAAAAACTGGTTGTTTGGAAAGATCAACATGATTGACAAACTATTAAGATCAACTAAGAAAAAAAGAGAATGCCTAAAATGCTATTTTCATAAATAAGAGAAAATATTACTACTGAGCTTAAGTAAAAGATCATAAAAGAACACTGTGAACAAATATATGCCAATAAATTAGGCACTTTAGATGGAATGTACAAATTCCTAGAGAGAAATGCTCTCAAACATAAAGAAATATTCACCTAGTGATTGACATTGTGATGCATTCACAGGCTGCTGCCTTCTCCTCTCAAGGATGCAGTGGAAGTATCAACCTGGAGAAGATGCTATACAATGCAAGAGGTGAACTCAGCCCTTAGTAAAATCCAGCTGGTGGGATATTCCCAGAAAATTGTGAGTATTAACATGATCTTAAGTGATTCAGGAATGCTTTAAATTCATATCATTATTCTTTGGAAGGGTCCTGTAGTTTCCCTTTTTTAAGCCACTCAGCCCTAACGATCTTGTACTAGTACAAGGCGAAAAGACAGTATTGGCACAATTGCTAGCCAACAAGTCTGTCATTTTCCTCTATTTCTCTTAGGGCTAGGTGTAAAAAAAAAAATTTATTGGTGCTCTTTCCTGACCTTCACATTCCTTATCACCAACTAGCATATAATGAGTCAAGAGAGAATCACCTCATCCTGCTCACATAGAACACTGGCCGCTACTTCACAGATTTGGGACAAGTGAAATAGCAAATAGCATAAAAGATCACAAAGCAATCTGACTAAGTACCTGATGGTAAGGATTCCCACTTCTATTCATTTTTACCCAGAAGCACTCAACAGAGAAAGATCAAGAGCCTAACACCTAACATGAAATGAGAAAAGAAAACCAAAGTATTTGGCTGTTTATCAGCTCTGCCTTTAATGAGTTAGTCATGAGAGCCTGTGACATGAATGGGCTTAAACTCTGAGTAATGATGAGTAAAAACTATAGGATCACTTTCTGTTTGTGCCACAAAATCTTCATTATGCTATTATCTATATGTTTGATTTACTTTTTTAAAGTTGTGATTTGGGTGAAAGTTTACAAAGTAAATTCACTTCCCATACAGCAGTTCACATACACTTTTCTCATGACATTGACTGCAATTTCCCACAATGCAACAGCTACCCTTCCATTCCCTCCCCATAGTTACCTCTTCCTGTGTCCTTCCCTCCATGCACTCCTGCCCGCTGAGCTATGTCCCTGTCATACACAGCCCTTCTATTCTACCATGATTGATATCTCCAAGGAGTTTATCTAGCTAATGTAAACGTTCACCTCATATGCCTGTCTTTTGTTTGGCTGGAAGCCACAGGAGTGGGTTCCATTCCAGACCTGAAGTGCAGCTAGGGGCCACAGTCTCAGGGGTTTCACCAGGCTCTATCAGACCAGCAAACCTGGTCCATTTTCCTTTTTGTTTGATTTACTTTTAATAATGTCTCATTCTAAACTGAGAAAGATACTTGTGTTGTTTTCTCCTGCATATGGATGGTATGACTACGTTGCTCAAATTTCATCACACTTTCTTTCTTGGTTTTCGTTTTATCACCACAACAATATTTTTCTAGTTAGTTTACAAAAAGAATTAAGTACAAATTGTAGGAAGAAAATGTTTAGTGCTGTTTATATTCATTTGAAACTCTGCTCTACACAAATTTAATTCCTATCAGTATGAACAGTATTTTCATAGATCTGCATGTAGTCTTTTCATCAGAGCATTAGCAATGAATAAAATTACCCGATTACATTTAAATAAAGTTGACCATTTGAAATGGTGGCTCTTTTTTTAGGAACTTTTTGGTGCAGTCCAGGTGACTCCTCTAAGCTCTGGCTATGCCCTTGGAAGCTCCAACTGGATTATCCAGTCCCATTATGAGAAAGTATCTTACGTCTCCGGATCCTCCTTGCTGACTACACACCCTCAGGTAATTCTAAGTTTTCTTTTAACAGCTCAGTTTTTTGGTTATTTAATCCAGATTCAGAATGTATCCAGCTGTGTTTGAATCTTCCTAGATTTTGTTTCTATAGATATTCTTTATGAAAATTTAACTATTCATGTTCCAGCATTTAGTATTACAAGTTCCTCTATGAGAATCCTGTTGCCTTTACAATCACCTCTGGAATTCTAAGATTTTTCAAACTCTTACAAAGAGCACAGCCTAATGTGGAGCAAAGCTAGCCACTCATTTACTCAGCAAATATTTATTATTTAATATTTGCTAAGAGCCTGCTATGTGTTTAACACTATTCTGGGTATGAGAGATTCAGTGTCAACCAATAGGCAAGGTTATGTATGCATGAGGAGAGTTACTTATGTGTGTGGAAAATAAATAAATGAGCAAGGTAATTTCAGATTGTGATACAAGTACTGAAAAACAACAAAGCAGGGTTATTTATAGAGTGATGGAGACTAGTTTAAATTGGATGGTCAGGGAAGGCCTCTGTGGAGGTTTCATTTGGACTGAGACCTGAAGAAATGAGCCATATGAAGATATGAGGGCAAAACATTACAGAGAGAATAGCAGATAAATGGCCCCTGAAGCACGAACAAGCTTGTTGTGTTTGAAGAGCAGAAAGGCCATTGTGATTGCAGCATGCTGTAGTCATACTGTCAGCAGTCATGTCTGGATGTCTGGGAGATTAGCAGATATGTAGAACTTTGTAGGCCATGATTAGGAATTTGGATTTTATTTTAATATGTAGAGGGAAACTTTGGAAAGTTTTGTCATTCATTAAATAGCCATATGTAGCAAGAAGCTAAGCACATGTACATTATTCTGAATGTAATAGATCTTCTTTCATAGGATTTGTAGAGAACTTACTGTTTATTTCATAAATTCTGCTTCTTTCCACATTTGTATGGAAACATAAGGAAGGGGAAGCGTAGATTAGTTGGTGATAGATGGATATATAGATGACTTGGGCCCATATCCCATTTTAATAGGGAAAAGATGACTGCTGAAAGTCTAGAACCGTAGAATGCTTCTGAGCTGCCACTCTGCATTGTATTTTCATACTTTCTTTTATAATCAAGTTTCATGTCAAGGTCTAGAAGAGACAAGCTATTCTTTTTTCCCTATAGCTAGCAGAATTCTGAGCCCTTCCCGCTTATTGAAATCAAAAGCCCATCAATGTCATCTTAATCTGCATCACTGAATCAATTTTTTTTATTGGCAGCTTCTATCATTCTTGATAGATTCTTCCATAAAAGATACAAAGATTATTTGACTGCCAAGTCTTCTAATTTGTCCTGCTTAGATCACAGCCTTAACAGTACTACTGATGTAATTTCCAGTAAATTATTATTACAGGGTTATAAATTTCGAAGGAAAATAAGGTCTTGAAAGTAATGAGCAATATACCTAACTAATTTTAATTTCTAGCTGGCAACCTGTGTTGTATATAAAAAAGGGGGAAAAATTAGATTTTTCTTTAGTGAAATAATTGGATTCTGTAATTAATTAGTAGGGATAAGAAAAGTTTTAGTTTGAAAAAACTTGATTATCTACTTCAGGGGTTGGCAAACCATGGCCTGTGGGATAAATTTGGCCTGCCACCTGTTTTTGTAAATAACATTTTGTTAGAATACAGCTACACTCATTTGTTTGTAATTTCTTGTGTCTGCTTTGCACTGCACTAGCAGAGCTGAGTAGCTCTTTACAGTAAAAATTTGTTGTCCACTTAAATGGAACCCTCACTAGACAGAAAGAAATAGAAGGCTACTGTACTGATCTAATAAGTGTAGGGGAATGAGGCTTTGGATTAAGGGCTGAAGTGGTAAAAACGGAGAGTCAAGTTTAAGAAAACACTGGGATGTTTTGAATTCAACATTTATTGACAAACTTTCCTTCAGGGAAGGAAAAATACAAGTTGAGAATTTAATTCCTGGATGACATTGAGAATGGAGATAATGACACTAATAGAGTTAATGAAAAGAAGTTGGCAGAGGGATCATTTGTTTGAGAAGAAGGGGGTGGGTATGATCATATGATGAGTTTGAGAGATGAGACATTTAATTAAACAGTTATTGTTTAGACATTTTTGAGTTGGATCTCACTCATGCCAACCTTATGTGTAATACAATGAAACACTGCCTGGCCCCGTGCCAACATCATGATCATTGGTATGGAGGAATCCATCGTAGCTATATTGTGTCAATCTGGCCTATGGAGAGTTTTCCTCATTTTTGGTGATCCTACTTTACCAGACATGAATGATGTCCTTTTCTAGCAATTGGTTTTTCCTGATGTCATGTCCAAAGTAAGCAAACCAAAATCTACCTATGTTCCTAACTTTTAGTTTTATGGGTGTCTCTGACCAATCTTTCAAGAAACAGATAGTCCCTATTGTGTATATTCTTTGACATTCAAAAAAAGGAAAGGTGCCTAAATCACCTTAGTAAGACTAATACTTGAAGGTAATACAAGGGAAAAAATGCATTTTTCACTTATGAATACCAGTTATAAACTGACCAAATAATCCCAGGAGACTATTTTTTAAAGAATAAATTATGATTTGTAAGATTTAGCTCAGTAATACAGGATGATTGAATGTGACAAAAGCTAACATAGAAGATCGCTACATTAATGGTCTAAAGGAAAGAAATCACATGATTATCTGACAGACTGAGAAAAAACTTTTGATAAGATACAACACCTATAACTGATATTTTTGACCCAGAGAGTTAGGAGAATCTTCTTAACCTGATAAAAAAACGAGTTTCTGAGAACTCTGTAAATTCATAGTCCTGAGGAAATAAATGCAAAATGTTGTATAGGAATCTGTGTGTGCATGTCTGCACACAGTTAACACACTTGGTTGGCAATTCAACTTTACCCAGAAAGGCCTTGACCTACTTCTGAAAAAAGCAGTCATCGAAAACCACATGGAGTGCAGTTCTACTCTGACGCATATGCGGTCACCTTCAGTCTGAGTCAACTCTGTGGCAGCTGATTTTCTTTAACTGGATGTATGTGTATTTATATATTTTTACATATGATTGAGGAGTCCTACTAGTACAGTGATTAAGCTCTCAGCTACTAACCAAAAGGTGGGTGGTTTGAATCCACCAACCTCTCCATGGAAGAAAGATAAGACAGTCCACTTCCGTAAAGATTACAGCCTATGAAACCTATAGGGCAGTTCTACTCTGTCCTGTAGGGTTACTGTGAGTCAGAATTGACCAGACAGTAGTAGATTGGGTAAGGTAGTGCCTAAGGCATTTGACTGCTAACTAGAAGGCTGGCGGTTCAAACCCACCATCCACTCCTTGGAAGGAAGGTGGGACAATCTATTTCCGTAGTGATGCTGCCTCGGAAACCCAAGGAAGGGTCGCTATGAGTCAGATCCAACTCCATGGCAGTGAGATTATATATGACTAATTCTTACTAGAATCTCAGTTAGGCTTTTAGGTCCAGGACTGTGCATATTTACTAGGAGAAAGTCTTCTAGCACTGGTGTATTTACTCTGCCTCCCCTTCCTGAACCTTATCCCTTTGAACTACAGGAGAATTCTTATATTGTTTTCCTGAGGTATTAAAAACCATGGTAGTAATGAATGTCAGTTCTTCTCTTTCCATTTTTTCCCCACCCTCCTACCCCCAAATTTCCCTGAATGTTTTGTTTTGGCTTGTACAATGCTTTGCTCTTATGTGGCTGTGCTAACGTGAACATTAAACTAAATGTATTAGAGGAATACTGTGGGGGAAGTGCTACAAATGGTTCGTGATCAGTTTAGAGAATTGGGCCCATGAAGCAAGGTAGGAGAGGCTAGATATCTTTCTGGACTCTTGCCTGTCTCTTTCTACACTTGCTGTTTTGTTTATTTTAAGTAGCTATACAGCTTCTGTGGTGGTTAAAGTTGTGTGTCAACTTGGCTGGGCCTGGTTTTGAGTGGCTGGGCAGCTGCATGTAGTGATTCCCCATGATGCTACTGATAATCAACTCCATGGTGGAATCTACTGTGAGCAGCTGAGTACCAGCCTCTAGGACATATATAAGGAGAAAATTTGAGAAAGGTCTCTGAGTTTTATGGCACATTTGGGTCCTGCATTTGACCAAGTCTTCGTCTCAGTGGCCTGCCATGTTGATTGATAATTTTGGGACTGTGCCATTTTACTTGTCGACCTTGGGTTTGTCAGCCTCAGCAGCCAGCAGGTGCCTAAACTAAGTGAAGCCTCCAGCTTCAGTGGGCTGGGAGCAAGAGGCAGAGCTGAAGCCCAAAGTCAAGGGGCTTTCACATAGCCCCTAAAACTGGCACTTGGAACTCAGACTTCTAGCCTTCTAAACTGTAAGAGACTAAATCCTTGTTTGTTAAAGTCATATACTTGTGGTATGTCTGTTATAGCACCACTAGAGAACCAATACAGCTTCTAAAAAATGTCCTTCTCTCAAACATAATGTGTACTTCTGAGATACAACTGTTGGTCACTACTCATATGGAGCAACAGAGAATGAAGGAAATTGAAGGCTCAAAGAAGAGACTAATCCACGTGTCTCATAGCCCACATGAACAACAGCCTCTTCTAACCTAAGGCCAGAAGAAGTACATAGTGCCCAGCTACCAACTGTTCTAACCAAGAACACAATAGAAGGTCTCATATAGAATGGAAGAAAACATGTAACAAAACTCAAATTCTTAACAAAGGTGAGACTTTCTGGACCAATGGAAACTAGAATCCCCAAGACTATTACCCTGAGATAACCCTTGAATGTGGAATTGAAGCTATTTCTACAGGTCACCTTTCAGCCAAATAATAGATTGGCTTGTAAACAGTAACACCCATGAGTAATGTCCTCTAGTAAACAGTGAATTTTATGAGACCAAACAGTCAACATGTACCTAAAAGCAAAGGTGAGAAGGCAAGGAGGGAAAGGTAAGCTAGACCAATGGGAACACAGCAAACAAAATGGAAATAACAGAATG